CCATCCATCCATCCATCCATCCATCCATCCATCCATCCATCCATCCATATCTACCTATCTGTAGTATATTTCAACAGTGTGTGTATGTAAATAGTAAGTTAAAAAAATTCTAAATGACATGAGATGTTGATACAGGTTAAAAGTGACTACAATATGAAAACAGTAACTATGCCTAGATCCAAACAAAACAGACATAAGGAACCCACTCTTTTTGAGAGACTGAAAAGGTGATTAATAACTGCTAACTTTGTTTACTTTGGGGGACAGGACTCTTGTTTCCCAGGCTCTCCTCAGACTCACTATATAGCCCAGGGGAATCTCCTTTAACTTCTGATCTTCCTGCTTCTCTCGAGAGCTGGATTTACAGACATGTACTATCCTACTAACTGGAGCTACTTTCCTAAGGAGAGACTAATGCATGTGCAACAGACTGATGTTTTCATTCTCAGTGATCATGTTGCATTAATTTCCTAAGAACAGAGTAACCATCTTTCCTTCAGTTTTCAGAGCTTTAAACTGGCTAAGTAGTTGGGCAAACTCTTATCACCAAGCTACATTTCTAGCCCACTTTATTGTTCTTACTTTAACACAGAATTTCACTAAGTTTCAAGGGTGGTCTTGACTTTGTAATTCTGCTGCCTCTCAAAACTGGGGTGTCAGCAATCAGCCCTGGCTGAGTTCTTGTCTTTATCATTTCTCATTTATATTCTATCTTACACTTTTCCTTGATTTTCTACTTCTTTACTTCATTAAATCCTCATGGGATTAAAGTACTCACACACATACATACACAGGGTCATGTCTGTCGGGGTGGAATTGCCACAACTTTCCAGAATGATGACTCCAGGACACTATCCACTTAGCAATAGCTAAAAAGTTCTTTTTTTTTTTAAGATTTATTTATTTTATGTATATGAATACACTGTCACTTTCTTCAGACACACAAAAAGAGAGCATCAGATCCCATTGCAGATGGTTGTGAGCCACCATGTGGTTGCTGGGAATTGAACTCAGAACCTCTGGAAGAGCAGTCAGTGCTCTTAACCACTAAGCCATCTCCCCAGCCCAGCTAAAAAGTTCTATTTCTCTACATTGCTTCAATATTGTCATCTCATTTGGTGTCCTCTGCAAGAGTAGTATTTGCTCTTAACCCCTGATCCAACTCTCTAGCCCCATTTTGTTTGTTTGTTTCTTGAGATGGTCTTTTTTAATGACACTAACTTAGGCTAACAGGGCTTCTATTACGGCGAGAAATGCCATGACCAAAAAGCAAGGTTTATTTGGCTTGTACTTCCAGATCATAGAAATTGGAAGTCAGGACATGAACTCAAACAAGACTGGAACCCAGAGGCAGGAGCTGATGCAGAGGGCATGGAGGGGTCCTGTTTACTGGCTTGCTTAGCTTGCTTTCTTACAGAATCCAGGACCACTAGCCCAGGGTTGGCACTATCCACCATGGGCTGGACTCTTCCACATTGATCACTAGTTGAGAAAATGCCTTACAGGTGGATCTCATGGAGGCATTTTCTTAATTGAGGCTCCTTCTTCTCTGATGACTCTTACTAGCATCAAGTTGGTATCAGAACCAGCCAGTATAGCTAGCCTGGCACAACCCTCTCCTTCACTTTCACTGTTCTCACTCTAGAGTGTTGCGCGAAATATTAAAAATGAATCCACTCTATTGCAGGCATGGTGCCAGCAGGCTGGCCAGGCACTGGTGGGCAATGGCCAGCCTGTTCTCATCTCGTGGAGACTCTTGACTCAGAGCTCTGAAATCTCTCCACCTAGCTCGCTAAGTTCCCACTGGTGGGTCGCTTCCACACTAGTCCCAAGCTTGCCACTGTACCTTTCTCTCTGGAAACGAGTTAAGCCACTGCATGAAGGAAAACACCACACAAAATTAGTTCAGAAACAATGGTACATCAATCACTGGGTCAATCACTGGGCGCAACAACTAGAATCCTAATCTTGTAGGCCATATTAAATCTAAATCCTCTGGTGGCGAATCCATGAAGATTCGCCATCTAAACAGGATGACACTAGTCTAATCTTGTCCTCTCATTATCCTAGTCCAAAAGCCCCCATTCTTATCCTGCCTCCTCTCTTCCCCTATCCAACCGAAAAGCCCCAAATACTTGCCCAGTTTCTTTACTCATTAGGGGATGGTTTACAATAAATCACTGGCAGCCCCTCCAGGGAAAGTAGAACTAGCATCAAAATACAAGCAACACCGGGGCTATCCACAACACTACAGAACTGGGATTACAGGTGTGTAGGGCTACATTGTGTCATTATTTTTATTATACAATGTAATAATGTTTATATATGTATTTTTATTCTTCATAGTGTTGTATTTTTTTTAAATCGTTTATAATTTTCGGTAAGAAAAAGGGTTGTATCTCTTAGGAAATCATACTCCTTTTGTTCTTAACTCCTTTGTGGTGACCTGTTCATTTGGTGTTTCCTGCCTGGAAAATCTCTTGTTTTCTATGATGTGGATCTTCCAAGGTTTTTGTTGTTGTTTTGAGATTGGGTGTCTATTATGTATTCCTGATAGTCCTGTAACTATGTAATCCAGGCTGGCTTCAAGCTCACTGAAATTCACTTACTTCAGTTTCCTAAGGGCTAGGGAAAAAGGAATAAACCATCCACACAGGCTAGTGATGAATATTGAAGATATATGCCTCTTGTTTTTGAAGGAAATAATCAATTGGTGTGAAATTCCAGACTGGCAGATTTTTCTGTTCTTGGAATCTATTTTCCTGTTTGGCCTGGCTGGCATCACTGTCTCAGCCTCTCCTGTTCCTCTGTTCAGAATGTGGCTCCTCCTTGTGGCTGCTTTAAAGATTTTCTTTCTCGGGTTTTAAGCCATTTAATTGTGATGCATCTGTTTTTTCTTTTAAAGGCTTCTTTCTAGATTATTCACATTATTTAAATTAGTTCATTGGAACCCATCTACTAATGCTTCATTAATCTATGCTTTTTCTCTCTTCTACTTTTCTTTCTTCTTCTTCTTCTTTTTTTTTTTTTGTTTGTTTGTTTTGTTTTTTTTCGAGACAGGGTTTCTCTGTGTAGCCCTGGCTGTCCTGGAACTCATTCTGTAGACCAGGCTGGCCTCAAACTCAGAAATCCGCCTGCCTCTGCCTCCCAAGTGCTGGGATTAAAGGCGTGCACCACCACTGCCCGGTCCTTTTCTTTATTTCAATTAAATATTATTCTAAATGCAGAGGACCTGAACTCACAAAGATCTTGGTGCATGTGTGGAGGCCAGACATCTTTCAGGATTAGTTCTCTTTCTACAATGCAGGCTCTGGGAATTGAACTCAGGTCATAACTCTTGGCAGCAGGCACTTGCACCTTACCCACTGAATCACCTCACTGGCCTTGCTTTCCCTCCTTCCATCTCCTTTCTTTTTTTAAACCATAAAACAACAAAAGATAAATCACAATCCTTTTAGGATTTACCCACATATATGAATATTTTGACTGTATATATGTGCACCTTATGTGTCTGATAATTCAGAAGAGGGTGTTAGATGGCCTGGAACTGGAGTTATGGATGATTGTAAGCCACCAAGGGGGTGTAGGAAATGGAATCTAGATCTTCTCCAAGAGCAACAAGTGCTCTAAACCACTGAGCTGTCTCTCCAACTCTGTTTTTGTGAGATAGTGTCTCATCATTCTGTGGCTCAACCTGGTCTTGAACTTGTGGCAACCCTTTTGCCTTAGTATTCCCCAAAGTGAAATTACAACTCTGAGCCTTTCTTTTTTGACACATGTAGCCATGGCTGCCCTGGGACTCAGTTTATAGAATTCTACTGCCTCTGCTTCTCAAGTGCTGGGATTAAAGGTGTATACCACTTCATAGGGTTCATTTAACTGTTCCTACCATTTGTTTTGGAATCCAGTCTGGCATTAATATTAATTACATTGTTTTTCTTTATTTCAGACACTGGTTTTCATCTCAAGGTTTTGTCTTTCAATCACCTATATCTTTCCTATTTGAACATTTGGAATGCAGTTATAGAAGAGGGGTGGGTAGGGAAGGAAAGGTGGAGAAGAGAAAAAGGAGGAAGCTAGACAGCAGTGGACCCTGTCTCACAGAAAAAGATCTTTCTTTGTTGATCTCAACTCCAGTGACATTTTGAGGTTTGGTGCTACTTAGTTAGGGCTGACCTCTCAGGAGAGTCTAGTGTTTTTTCTTTGAGATAAGGCTTCTGTGTTCCTATGACTGTCATGGAACTCACTATGTAAACCAGGCTGACCCTCCTCTTGCCTCTCCCTTCCTAGTGCTAGTGCTCCCCAGGTATGCATCACTGCCTGGCTTAAAAGTAGTCTTTTTTTTTCGTGGCAGTACTGGGTGTTGAACTCATGGCCTCATGCAAACAAGGGAAGCACTCTACTATGGAGCTATAGTTGTATAGTTCTAGCCTGGCCTCTTGTCTTGGTGCTTATTTGTAAGCTATTGGAGTAGCATATGTACTTGGGCTGACAGAATGAATTCCCACAAATTTAGTGGCATGAACAAGACTTTCTCAACATTTTGGATGTTACGAATTTCATACTGGCAAGTCATTTTTTTATTCTTTTTCACCCTAACCCAGGCTGTTTTCTAACTTGTGGCAATCCTTCTGCCTCCTGGAGCTGGAGTTATTGGCAGTTGTGAGTCACCTGACAGGGTACTAAATAAACTGAACCCTCTGCGTCCTCTGGAAGAACATCAAGTGTTCTTAACCACTGATACATCTTTCCAGGCCATTATTATTTTCTGACTTACGAACTTTGTTCTTTCTGCATCAACTCCTCAACATGTGGAGACTTCAGTACATTACCCAGGATCATGTTTGGTGAGATGGGCTAGACTCTGACCCACAGTGACTACTGCTATTGCCCCCTTTTTGCTTTTTGGACACAGTGGTCTCATATTATATCCCAGACTGGCTTCATTCTTGCAATCCACATGTCTTATACTTCCAAGTTACTACTCCTTTTAAATAACTGAATAGTCACATGTATCTGCCATATTACAGAAGTATATAAAGTCAAAGTGCTTGCTTACCACGTTCCTCCTTAAGCTGGTATGTGAATTCAAGCTGTCACATGGAATACTAAAAAGTTGAACTACATCCCCCACATAGTTGTAAACCTATGGTATCATTATTTACACACACACACACTCACACACTTTTTTTTCTCTATTTTAAGAAAGGTGCTGAACTACATCCTAATCTATTTGCCACATTAAATGCCACAGTGTTGCTTTGCTCAACACTGAACAAACATTGAGTAACAATTGCTCAGTTTGCAGAATGCCTACCTAGCATGCGTTAAGACCCATGCAAACAGGGCATGATGGCACATGCTAGCAGGAGACTGGGAATTTCAAGACATTCTCAGCTACACAGATAGTTCAAGGCCAGATCAGGTTATATGAAGCTTGTCTCAAAACCAAAACAACAACAACAAAAATTCCCACTCAATAATTACTCATTTACCGATCAAAGTAAAAGATCCACAAGTTAGCATGAAAGAATAATGAAAATATAAATTTGTGCAGTTTGCAGGAGCATCATTTGCATACCATAGAGTCACATTTTGCAATCAACCCAGGAGCTCAACAAGCATTCACTCTATTACACTAATGAGGCAAAACTACTATTTATCTCACATCAGGTTAGGCTTTCTGTCAAATCATAAGTCTGTCAACTGTCAAGTCAGTTGGACAGACTTCAGCCTTCTAAGTCTAGATTCTTCTTTGGTAAACAAATTAAAAGGCTTTTCCAGCAATGAGGCAGAGACAGGAAGATCTCAAGTGTCAGCCTGGGCTATACATTGAGATTCTATTTCAAAATTAATCAAAAGAAAAACAAAACAAAAAAAAGTTAAAAATGGAAGAAACAGAATTGAACACATTAGCAACACAATTCTGATTCCAAATGTAGCACTGTTTAAGACCTGAATGTTCTTTTTTGATTGGAGACAGGATTTCATTGTGTGTAGCCTGGCTGTCTTGGAACTCAGAGATCTTCCTGCCTCTGCTTCTTGAGTGCTAGGATTAAAGATGTCCACCAACATCACCTGGCAGAATATTCTTCTTTTTTAAAATCCATGGTGCATGTGCATGTATGCCATAGTATGTATGCTGAAGCCAAGGGCAGTCTGAGGATCAGGTTCACTCCTGCCACCATATGAGTTCTTGGTCAAACAGGTCAAGTGTCTCTACTTACTGAACCATCTCACTGGCCTACAAAATTTTGCTTTTAGAACTGGTAATATTAAAGTAGGAATTTTAACTTTCAGGGATAGAGTATTCAGATACCAATGCCACTTCAGATATGCTGTGAAACACAAATAATACTGTACCAAGAACCACTGCTTGCTCTTATACAATGATTCTAAAATCTTGGGGAAAAAACAAAAAGTCCAAACCACTTCTAACAGCATCTTTCAATCTGTTCAGACCACATTTAGACTTCAGGACATCAAGGAAGCAAAATGGTGCAAACATTACAGGTTTATCTCAACTATCTGCCATATCTTACTGAAGTCTTTAGTTATCAACTGTTGAGTTTAATGTGGCTGCCTATTTCCCCAATATGAACTTTTAATGGAACTTGTGGTTTAATTACACATTACAGAAATCTAGGATGGACACTTTAACAGTGGAATTTTATCATCCATATCCTAAATACATTTGGATCTCTCTCTCTCTCTCTCTCTCTCTCTCTCTCTCTCTCTCTCTCTCTCACTCACACACACACACACACACACACTTACTTTGTTCATTTATTCATCCATTTATTATTTAGTGTGTGTATGTACACCTGTATATGAAGGTCAGAGGACAACTTGTAGGAGACAGTTCTTTTCACCACGTGGGATCCAAGAATGGAACTCAAGACTATCAGGCCTGGTAGCAACTGCCTATACCTAATGTCCTTATTTAACCCCCAAGAGCTTTTGTCCTTTAGGGGTTTATTATTTTTATGTGTATGTGTGTGGTCTTGTGCACACAAGTACAGAGGCCAAAGGTATCAGGTCTCCTTAGACCTGAAATTATAAGCGATTGTGTACTAACCTACACAGATGTCAGCAACTGAATTCAGGTCCTCTGCTAGAGGAGTATGTGCTCTTTATTGCTGGGCCACCTCTCCAAAACCCCACCAAAGTTTTTGTTCTTGTTTTTGTTAATTACTTGGTGCTGGAAAGATGCTTCAATGTTTAAGAACACTTGCTGTTCCCTTAGAGAGGTAAGAGTTTAGTTTCCAGAATCCTTTGGTGGGTCATGGCAAACTCTTAACTTCTGCTCTAGGAGATCCAATATTCTCTCTTCTGGACTCTACAGGCACCCACCCTCCTCATGTGCACATTACTCACACACATAATTTCAACATTTAAAAAAGACCCTTTATTTGAATATTCTAAAAATCTGCTGAATAGATGTTAAGTAACAGTAAAAAACATACTTTGAAACAGTTTCATAAAAAAATTAACTTGGAAATTATTTTTCATGACCTATAAGTGTTTTAAATTCTAATGGTTATCACTGAGATTTGAATTAGGCGGTTTCCCAGGTCAAAATCATATTTGTACAGTGTTCAGCATATGTATTCTAGAAACATTTACGTGTTATACTTTGTGTTTAGCATTGAAAGAGAATTAGTAAGTAGCATAGTTTAATACAAACTGACGATTAATCTTTTGATCTCTTTCTCTTAAAAAACAAAATACCTGTTTAGGAAATGTACAAGCAGTCTTATGCAGAAATGGAAAAGGGTTTTGCCTGACCAAGGAACACACTACACGAAACGTCAAAGAAAGAAGAAGAGTCCTTCACAGCGAAGCAGTGATCAGTTCAGATGACCCTTATGGCCTCCTGGATGGACACATAAAAACCACCAGAGGTCTTGGATTCCATGGAAACCTCAGACTAAAAAAGTCCATTATTCCAGTACCACAAACAATTTCTGTCCCTATAGATGATTTATGTCAGTTTCTCATCTTAGCCACTAATGGACTTTGGCAAGTTTTGGACAAGAAGGAAGTCACTGCACTGGTAATTACCTTGTTTCATGCATATAAAGAAACACATGTTTCTGGCCCTAAAAAACCCTGGCTACCTAAAGACCTTCTTTCCCCACCAGACAGTAACATCCGAGTGCTGTTCCAGTACCAGCCTGAAAATGAAGACTTTATGACAACTACAGATCTAACAAAAGAATTATCTGATTCAACACATACTAAAGCTTATGATCATCAAGCTCTAACTGCAGAAACACTTCCTCCAGAAGCGACCCCTTATGACCCTTGCAGCACAAAAGAAAATAACAGCTTACCCACTTTAGACAGTAAGCAGGAGAGTGAGAAAGAACTATGTATTAAGAACTTCTATAAAGGTGCAGCTGAGTACATTGGCTGTGAACTTGTAAGTGCTGCAATAGAAGGTGGTTCCAGAGACAGCATCACTGTTATGGTAATGTTTCTCAACGGAAGTGAGTATCACAGGCTGGCATAAAAACATTCCAACGACCTAGAACAGCAAATAGTACTGCAAAGACTCCTGTGAGAACCATTCCTCAGAACAGGAAGGAAATAGAAAAGCTGCAGCTTGTATATCATGTGTATTATGGTGTATACTTTATGTCAAAGACAGAGAAAACTCAGTGTTGCTTTTTACACCACTTTATTCCAACCTGAGCACCTCAATATAAAACTAAACACTGGTGAACTGTTTTCCTTACTAATTTTGAGTTACTGTAAAATGTACAAGTTCTCTTAGCAGATCAACACTTAAATAGATTAAATCATCTGACACATGGTAGATTTCATATAATGAAAATACCTAAAATAATTAGTGCAATATACTGATTAAAATAAAATGGACTTCAAAAAACAAGGCTTCAAGATTATTACTAATAACATTGTAATACTTATGTTACAAATTGCAAGTACATTGTTTATTATGGGTCTAGCCATGTAAGAACAGCAAAGCCCCTTCCTTTCATAGGGGAAGAAAGAAATAATTAGCTGTTTTAGTAACTGTACATTTTGTATATGTTTAGGCAATTCTTAAATATTACAGGAAATAATAAACCTGGAGACTACAATGCAGTACTCTATTTACAGTACAGCTGAAGATCATATTTAAAATAATCAAATTTGAATGTACATAATTGTTAGTGCACTGACTAATCATGTCCAAAGGGAAGCAGAGCCTCCTCCCTGTTCCAGACAGACCTTTATGTAATAGCCAACAGTGATTAAATAGAAAGCAGATACCTGGTTTGTTTCCACTTTTTTAAAAGAAGGTCATACAAAGGGACCACTAACCATTAAAATGCAGTTTTTATATTCTTAAAACAGGATGGGGTTACATGTGACTTTTTTTTTTTCAATCAAATTTTAAGAAGTAACAGGATTGAATAAAATTAAGATGTCACCAATATTCCTTCTTTCTGGAGATATAGGACTGTTTTCTTGAGATTACTTTATTAGTATATGAAATGCAGATTTTTAAGACAATCAAAAAAATTACCATTTGCTTGGCTTTTGTTGCTAAACATAAATATTTTTAGTCTCCTAAAAATGTTTTTCTAAAGCATACATTAGTAATTTTGAGTCTGTCATATACCTGACTATTATCCCAGTTTGGAGTCTGGGTGGGTTAAGAGTGGGTCTACACCCACTGCAGATGAACTGTTCCCCTGTACTTTCCCATAAAATAAGTGTACACACAGTTCTCATTTTCCTTTCTACTGCCAGAGGAACACATGCATGTTATTAAAAATTAAGTTCAAAACATTCAAAATAATTCAGTATTAGAAACTTGATTCTACCACAGTCTCTTTTTGGAAGTCACACTGGGCCGGCTAAATGCTCCCACCTCCATGGATTTGCCAGTGAGGAAGTTCACACTGGAGTTCAGTTACTACAACACTGGCTTCTGGCTGGCTGTGCAGGCTCAGTAAGGTCTACTCCTCGTCCTCTCGCTGAGTTTGCGCCTGGATTCTGTGGTTCATTCTTTGGCAGCTTTTTAGCTGAGAAATAAATAAACAATATAAAGTTGTATTATTCATGAGAATCACTTAGACCTGCTTATATACAGTAGTTTCCCAGTTGGGTTATGTCCAAACTTTTATGTGACTGATTGCTCTTTTCAAATGTTTATTACTTATTAAATTCAAAAAAGTAAAACAAAGCACCAAACAACCCACAAAAATGTAACAAATAAACAAATGCCCCCCTACTCCGTTGCTGTACTAAAGGAGTTTAGTCTCTTAGTATTTTTGAAGTAGTAGGTAGAGGCCAATGGTAGACATACCATTTAAACTTAAATTTAACTACGACTATACATAATTCTCGTATCAATTCCCTTAGAAATCACAGTTTACTTGACTGGTACTTTATGTTGTATTGGGTCCTGTGCACAATGGGCAAGTCCACTATCACTTATCTACACTTTGCCTGTTTTATAATCATTATATTTCTATTATACAAATTCTGCTGGACATGACGGGGTATAATTGTAATTCACTATGGAGAATGAGTTGGAACAATCATTTTAGCCCAGGAGCTTAAGACTAGACTCCCTTTTGAAAAACAAAACCAAGCAAGACAGACATAAAATCCAAGTCAACAGATCATGACCAGCTACAAAGTTTATAAAGAAGCTCACATTATAGCAACATTCTCTGGGCTATCACAAATAATTCTAAGACAAGTCAGGCTGTGAACAAATTCTATTGACAGAATCATCAACCCAACCAAATTTGTCCTTTACTGTGTAACCCAGTCATCAAACAATCACATGACTGATAACTTCTTTTCCCTCTTGGGCTATGACAAATCCTTATTTGATCTACAAATACCAATATTAATATACATGAATAGCTTTGTGAATTCTATATTGCTAATACTGGTTCTGTGGAATATGCTCCCCACTAAAAGTTTACCTGCTAGACACAAGGCTTAATCCTGAGGATGATGCAGCAATACTAAGAGTAGTGCTTTATCCCCAATGCCCACCTAAAATCCTGGACCTTGGTTTTGTTTTCTAGGAAACTCAGGGCTTACATACATGTTACACAAGGTAACTATCACTAAGCCATATACTCCCTATCCTGCATTTTTTAACCCTTTACCTTCCCTACTTCTGCCTCATCAATATTATCTTTAGAATCTTAGCTGCGGTAAGCAGGTCCAGCAAGCACTTATATTTGACAAGAAAGCCTTCACTGAGCCACCCTAGAAATTGCTCTAGAGAAGGTTCCATTAAGTACAATAATGATAAATGTTCAGTCAGATGTATTTACAAGTAATGCCCAGTAAATGAACTAACAATGGTACTAGGTATGGAGAAGTGGACCGTGAAAGGTAGCATGGTCCCCAGTTGAGCTAAGGCTAGAAGCCCCAGAAACCCTGAAGGGACAGTAGGAGTTTTCCCTGCTCCTGGGCTTCAGGCCCCTGTCACTAGCCACAGCCCCCTATAGATTTGTGGCCATCAGTCATGTAAAGGAAATGTCCCAAACCCTTCCACAAAAGGATATGACCTAAGTTCACATAGGTTCAAGACAGATCTCCATGCTAATGAGGTACATAGAAGCCTAGAGGGGTTAGTTAATAAGCTTCCCTTCTCAGGCATTCCTTCCTATAAAAAGTATTTAATTTCAGGCCCACCCTGATAAGTGAGGTATGATTTTACACATCTACTTTCCATCATGGCAATAAACATTTGGAACCACAGACTGTCTCTTTTCATTGGGATCCATTGTGGGGAGCCAGGGAGAAGGCCTTTTCAGAGCAGCTGCCTAATCTCTCATAAAACCTCTCTAAACTCCCACCCATAAAGCCCAAGCCTTCAGTCAAGCCAAGGACTCTCCCCATGGGACCAGCAGGAGCTCATCATTTTCCCCTTGGCCCCAGGCTAAACTCAGCCTGCAGGTCCCCACTCTGTTCTCAGCTCTTTCGAAACTTCCATCGGTGCCTGGCTGTTCAAGAGCCTGGGAACTCCAGAGCTCCAGCCTCTTCACAGGCTCAGGACCCCAACGCCAGCTCTGGATGTCTAGCGCCTCAGACTGCTCTTTCCTACCACAAGCAGTGCTTCCGCACTTCCCTACAGCGTGGCATGGGACAAACACAAATTGCCCAAGTTCTACTTCCCCAAGCTGCTGAGCCCTGTGGAGTGGACTTGGGACCCACAACACTACAACTAGGGACACAGAATAAGCTATCACTGTGTACTGTATTATAATAAACACCAAGTTGGGTTTTGGAATGACCATAAATTTCTTCCTCTAGCCTATTCCTCTAAGGACTTTCTATAATCACATCTGACTCAGACGAGGTGGAAGGAAGTGAACATCAGTAAGGACTCTCTTTGTTAATTAGATTGTATTATATTTACTATGAGATTTGATATGTTAACCTTATTAAAGAAAGACTCCAATCGCAAACACACGTGGTTTGTGTTTCTGTGTATATATATATCCTGGCTGTCCTGAAATTAACTCAATAGACCAGGCTGGCCTCACTTGGAGATCTACCTGCCTTTGCCTGTCAAGCGCTAGGATTAAAGCATGTGCCACCACAGCTTAGCTTGATTTCTTTATAAAAAGGAAATAGTTTAATTTGAAACAAAATCTAGAAGCTGAGAATAGAATCCAGGTTTCAGGAACACAATACAAACACTGTACCACAGAGTTACTTCTGCAGCTTACAAGTTCTAAACTTAAGTCTAAAGTATATCTCAGCTTAGAATGGTGCCTCCATCCTGTAATTCCAGTCATTGAGAGACTGAGGTAGGAGGATCTGCAGTTCCAGGCCAGCCTTGGCTCTGTCTGAAAACAAACAAACAAACAAACAAACAAACAAAACCAGGTTCAGTTAGTGAAGTGTTTGTTATTGAACCACTAAGTTCTGAATTTGGGTCCTCACCACTCATGTAAAAACATATGTAACTCCAGCACTAGGAGTAGACAGATCATGGAGGAGTACAAAGAGCTTATGATTTCCAATGTGTTCAGAGTTCAGTGAAATATTTGGGCTAAAAATAAAAGAGATAGCAGGATGATTCAGAAGGTAAAAGTGTTTGCCACCAAGCTTCATGACATCACTTCCATACCTGGAACCTGTATGATATTAGGAGGAGACTAGCAAAAACTGTCCCGCCTTTCACATTTTTTTTCGCGTGCGCGCGCACGCACACACACACACACACACACACACACACACACATACACACAATGCTTAAAAATGAAAGCTGAAGAAATAACGGATTAAAACATTTAATTGTCAACTTCTGGTTTCCACATACAACCACATAAAGAGCACATATATGCAAGTGTGTAAGAAACAAAAGTTTAGGTTCTTCTAAGGCACAGGCTGAAATCCTACACTGTTCCCACCTTCCTGCCTGGCACATGGATCATCTCTGTCTAATGTATCAACAGTACATACACTACCTACCTACTAGTAGCTTAGTTATCAGACAACTTTGATATCACAGCATTTGTGTTCAGGTAATCTTTATGATCCTAAAGCACTGTGATGGTTTGTAAATGCACGGCCCAGGGAAAGGCACTATTAGATCTGGCCCTGTTGGAGTAGGTGTGTCATTTTAAGTGGACTTTTAAGTCTCTCATCTTAGATGCCTAGCAGCCTCAGATGAAGACAGAGAACTCTCAGCTCATCCTGCACCATGCCTGCTTGGATGCTGCCATGTTCCTACCTTGATGATACTGGATTGAACCTCTGAACCTGTAAGCCAGTCTCAATTAAATGTTGTCTTTATAAGAGTTGCCTAGGTCATGGAGTCTGTTCACAGCAGTAAATCCCTAAGACAGAAGTTGGTACTAGGTGTGGGGTATAGATAGGACTGACCAGGCTTTT